TCACCTATATAAGTAAAAAAATTAAAAAAGAAAATATTTGAAGAATACAACATCTTCACAGCAACCTGTTAAGTCATTGATTGATTACAATTGCAACTAGGAAAGTAGTCAAGAAACTGCAACTTCAGTCTAAGCAGAAGAAGATTACCAGAAATTAGGTTAGGGTTTAAGTACATGTGAGAGATAATTCAGCATTAAGAGACAGTGAGAAGGAGAAGGAAGAAGTGTTAGAGCATAGGTGGGAGAGAGGGTGAGGAGGAAGTGTCACTATGTCCCTAAATCTGTATAAATGAAATACATGAAACTTATATAACCTAAAAATTTCAAAATAAAATAAAAAAGAGATAACTGATTGATGAAATCCCAAAAGAGGAAACAAAGAAAAGATTTAAAGTGATATTTATATGGAGACAAGCTAAAAAATGTGACAAAATAACCAAAACATCTCCAGACTGTTTAAGTGATTCCATTGTGGTAAATTTAATTATTGCAAGACCTCAGTTTCTATGAGAACCTAGGAACTGTCTTTCTGCTGGTACCCAGCCTCTTTGACTACATAACCCACAAGTCCTCTCTCATTTAAATATTACATCTGCCACACTAAAACTGGAGGCCATGCAATGTATGTAATTCAAACAAATGAAAAATATCCACCCAGAGAAATCCATGGGACTATTTTCTTCTCTCTCTCTCTCTTTTACTTTTAAGCTCAGTTAATAAGCAAGATTTTTTTTCTCCTTTGAGTCATGGCCTTTTATCTTCTCTTAGATTCACTGTAGTATTTTTTTCCTTCCTGCTGAAAAAGTGGTACAGAATACAGATGAGATAATGCTCATTTTAAAACTGCTCTTTTTTTGAGCATAGAAAACCTGATCTACATTTTTCCCAGTGTTATCTAAAAGATTTGTTAAGGGACTTAAAGGGAGACTTAGACCCCAATACAATAGTACTGGGGGACTTCAATACTCCACTCTCAGAAATAGACAGATCAACAGGACAGAAGATCAACAAGGAGACAGTAGATTTAAACGACGCTATAGCCCAAATGGATCTAACAGATATATACAGAACTTTCAATCCTACAGCTAAAGATTTTACATTCTTCTCAGCAGTACATGGAACCTTCTCTAGGATTGACCACATACTAGGCCATAAAGCAAGTCTCAGCAAATTCAAAAGAATTAGAATCATACCATGCAGCTTCTCAGACCATAAAGGAATGAAGTTGGAAATTAGCAACTCAGGAATCCCTAGAGCATACGCAAACACATGGAGATTGAACAACATGCTCCTGAATGAACAATGGGTCATAGTAGAAATTAAAAGAGAAATCAAAAATTTTCTGGAAGTAAATGAGGATAACAGCACAACATACTAAAACTTATGGGATGCAGGAAAAGCAGTGTTAAGAGGAAAGTTTATATCAATAGGTGCCTACATCAAGAAACTGGAAAGGCACCAAATAGATGAGCTTTCAATTCACTTCAAGGATCTAGAAAACCTACAGCAAACCAGACCCAAATCTAGTAGGAGAAGAGAAATAATTAAAATCAGAGAAGAAATCAACAGGATTGAATCAAAAAAAAAAAAACATTACAAAAAATCAGCGAAACGATGAGCTGGTTTTTTGAAAAAAATAAACAAAATTGACACCCCATTGGCCCAACTAACTAAAAAAAGAAGAGAAAAGACACAAATCAATAAAATCAGAGATGAAAAAGTAACGTAACAACAGACACCACAGAAATGAAAAGAATCATCAGAAATTACTACAAGGACTTGTGTGCCAGCAAAAAGGGAAACCTATCAGAAATGGATAGATTCCTGGACACATGCAACCTGCCTAAATTGAACCAGGAAGACATCGAAAACCTAAACAGACCCATAACTGAGACAGAAATTGATACAGTAATAAAGGCCCTCCCAACAAAAAAAAAAGCCCAGGACCAGATGGATTCACTGCTGAATTCTACCAGACATTTAAAGAAGAACTAACTCCATTTCTTCTCAAACTATTCAGAACAATCAAAAAAGAGGGAGTCCTCCCAAATTCTTTCTATGAAGCCAGCATCACCTTAATTCCTAAGCTGGAAAAAGATGCAGCATTGAAAGAGAATTGCAGACCAATATCCCTAATGAACATAGATGCAAAAATCCTCAATAAAATTCTGGCCAATAGAATGCAACAACACATCAGAAAGATCATTCACCCAGACCAAGTGGGATTCATCCCTGGTATGCAGGGATGGTTCAACATTCGCAAATCAATCAATGTGATTCACCACATTAACAGACTGCAGAAGAAAAACCATATGATTATCTCAATTGATGCAGAGAAAGCATTTGATAAAATACAACACCCGTTCATGATGAAAACTCTAAGGAAACTGGGTTTGGAAGGAACATTCCTCAACACAATCAAAGCAATCTATGAAAAACCCACAGCCAACATCCTATTGAATGGGGAAAAGTTGGAAGCATTTCCACTGAGATCTGGTACGAGACAGGGATGCCCACTCTCACCACTGCTATTCAATATAGTTCTGGAAGTTCTAGCCAGAGCTATTAGGCAAGAAAAAGAAATTAAAGGGATACAAATTGGGAAGGAAGAACTCAAACTATCCCTCTTTGCAGATGATATGATTCTTTATTTAGGGGACCCAAAGAACTCTACTAAGAGACTGTTGGAACTCATAGAAGATTTTGGCAAAGTAGCAGGGTATGAAATCAATGCACAAAAATCAACAGCCTTTGTATACACAGACAATGCCACAGCTGAGGAAGAACTTCTAAGATCAATCCCATTCACAATAGCTACAAAACAATCAAATACCTTGGAATAAACTTAACCAAGGACGTTCAATATCTCTACGATGAAAATTACAAAACCGTAAAGAAAGAAATAGAAGATGATACCAAGAAATGGAAAAAGCTTCCATGCTCATGGATTGGAAGAATCAATATCGACTTCAACTATTTTTCAAAATCCATATCAAATCGATGGGTGAAGATGCTTTTGTTAACAGTCTCATTTAGAAACTGCAAAGATGTTTATCAATTTTTAATTGGTTTGAGAGATTTGCAATTATCTATCACTTTTGTCTAATTTAAAATATACTTAGAGTGCCAGCCTTGTGGCACAGCAGATAAAGCTACCACTTGCAATGTTGGCATACAGTATGGGCACTGTTTCAAGACCCAGCTGGTTCTCTTCCAGTCCAGCTCCTTGCTAACATTCCTGGGAAAGCAGTGGAAGATGGCCCAAGTGCTAGGGACCCTGCACCAGTGAGGGAGACTTGTAAGAAGCTCCTGGTTCCTGGCTTCAACCTGGCCCAGCCCTAGACATTGCTACCATTTGGGGAATAAACCAGTAGATGGAAGATATCTTTCTCTCTCTCTCTCTCTTTCTCTCTCTCTTTCTCTTTCTCTTTCTCTTTCTCTTTCTCTTTCTCTTTCTCTTTCTCTTTCTCTCTGTAACTGTGCCTTTTGAGTAAATACAAATAAGTATTCTTAAAAAATACACTTATAATTGAAAAGAGAAAAGAAAAATTCACAAAGAATATTTTGATAGTACTGGCCATTTTACTGTCTGAAATCTCTCTAGTGTCTATAAGAACTGACAGAGGCAGCATAGTAGGCTTGTGTTGACTCCACTGTGAGGAACACAGTGGGAAAAATGCAGTGAGGGTTGGGGCTGGAGTTGTGGCACAGTGTGGTAAACAGCTGCTTGGGAAACCTGCAACTCAGAGTGCTAGTTCAAGTCCATGGAGGATCCACTTTGTTCTAACTTCCTGCTAACATGCCTGGGAAACAGCAAATGAGGGCTCAAGTACTTGTGTCCCTGCCATTCATGTAGGAGACGTGGATGGGGTTCCCAGTTCCTGGCTTGAGCCTAGCTGTTGGTGGCCATTTGGGGACTGAAGCATCAGATGAAAGACCTCTCTCTCTCTCTCTCTCTCTCTCTCTCTCTGTTTTAATCTTTCTAATAAACACATACATAAATCTAAAAAAGAGAGAAACACAACAAGGCTGTTTGCATTAATCTAAGGAAATAGCAATCAGACAGTAAAGTGGGAGCCAGTCATAGGTTAAAACTGATTACACAAAAACAGATGTGGCAGGAATTAACCTCAGCCACTAACATATTTGTTAATAGGAGTTCTAGTAAAACAGTAGATGTGGAACAGCCAGTTGCTAATTTTTTGAATTCTTTGTAGTACCTAATCATACTATCTGCTGTTTAGAACCTTTAAATATAAATAAGCACTTAAATAAAATTTACCAATTTATTCTTGATTATTAAGCTTATGTTCCTGGTCAGCTTATGACACGTGCACATGAACACACACACACACACACACACAAATGCGCATGCATGCATGCATACCCCATTGGGTAAAGTCAACCATGAATTCAGGGAGGAAGATATGACAGAACACACTTGTGTCTGGGACTTTGGCCAAGGAATTCATGTTAAAAAGAGCTTAGGAGATACTAATTGCAGTTTTAACCTACTTTACAACCTTTTTGAGTCATTTATACTTTCAATTCTCATTTATGGGATAGCATAATAGTAGCTCAATATCTGTATATTTCTAAGTAATAACAAGAAATATTATATGCACATATATATGATTTATGTAAACTTTTCATTTATTTATTCAGTCATTCAACAAGTATTACATGCAAACTCTTTATGAGGCACTAAAGAAAAAAATGAGTAAGATGTTCTCCCAGCCAACAAAATACTTTAATTCCAGTGGGAAAAGTGTACAATGAATGCTTCAATTCTAGTGGAAGAATTTTCACTGTAGACTTAATCCAGTCTTAAAGGATTAATTTTTTCAAATATGTCTACATATAGCCCTGTAATTTTTTTCCTAATGTGCTTCTAATCATTTTTAATTGAGCACTGAGCTTGCAGGTGTCAATTTAAATGATGAATGTTGCCAAAGTGGAGAGTATCTTTCAAGGAGAAAATTATCCTGAAAAAATTGTACCTTGTTGCTGAGAACATATTATGGGAAATCTGACGGTCCATGTAACTCTGTTAATATTCCATAACAGAATAGAACAATAGATTGTCACACCTAGAAGGAAATTCATAAATTTATTAATTCAATTTACTTATTTCATAGAAGAAAAAAGTTAGATTCAGAGGATTATGTTTTCTCAGCCAGAACCATAGAAATTGTTAGTGACATATATTCACACATAAAGGTAAATATAATTTACATATCATAATAATCTCAAAAAGATTGAATGATTAGAAATTGATTTAAAAGTGAATGAATTAATAGAATTAAATTGATAGCTTATTTACATAGGAAGATTCCATATTTGTTGAGTTCCTAAATATAAATATTCTACTTTTCTTGGATTTGGAGGCTAACCAAACAAAAACAGTTAAATAAGCTTAAAATATTTTATGAAAGAGTAATTATAACCATGAAGATTTGTTTTCTCTTATAAATTTTATAAATCCATTTTTGGCAAAATGAATTTGCACTGAAACAAAGACTTAAGGTCACTAATGGAGACTCAATGACCTTTGGGCCACATAACGTGGAGTATTCATTAAATGAAGAAATCAATCACTTGACATTTAAAATAACCACTTTTTATCTACTTAGCAACAGGTAGCATTTACTAGACTCTAGACACAAGACTGAACACCTTGAAAATACTATATCCCATTAAACCTACAACAAAATTGTGTCTCAAGCTAATTTTTAAAGATCTGTACATAATCAATCTGACCCTAAACAACTATAAGTGGAGAAAGGGGATAGGTAAGGGGAAAGTAAAACTTTTAAGTATATAAAGCAATTGATTCCTTATCCCATCCCCCATGAATATTTGGATTTTGGAGAGTACTATTGTATGTATATACAGGGTATAGGGCAAAAGGTGGGTGGATGTGACTCAATAGTACAGAGTATATATGCACAAACAACACATTTTGTATCATGCTACCCCATTGGTTCTCTTTATGCATTAAGATAACAAAATTTATTATTTATTTGACAGGTAGAGTTACAGACAGTGAGAGAGAGAGAGACCGAGAGAAAGGTCTTCCTTCTGTTGGTTCACTCCCCAAAGGCTGAAGCACTTCCTCCTGGTCTCCCATGGGGTGCAGGGCCCAAGCACTTGGGCCTTCCTCCACTGCACTCCCGAGCCACAGAAGAGAGCCGGACTGGAAGAGGAGCAACTGGGACTAGAACCCGGCGCCCATATGAATGCAGGCACAGCAGGAGGAGGATTAACCAAGTGAGCCATGGCACCAGCCCCAAGATAATCAAATTTATTCTTCTTAACATCTGATTCTACAGTCACCATGGAAATAGCTCTGAAAATAATTTGCCCAAAATGTTCTCAAATAATTTTTATATGTAATTTTTATGTAAAGACATAAGTTGAGACTTATTCATGCATCAATCTTCCCATTAGAAAAGAAAATATTTGTTTACAATTCTAAAGGCAGAAAGACAGAGAAAGGAGAGAGAGAGAGAGAGAGGGAGAGAGAGAGAGAGAGAGAAACTCTTCCATCTACTCTTTCTTTTCCAATAACTGCAACAACCAGGTCTGGGCCAGCAACCAGGCACTTAATGCCATTTTCCCACATGCTTGGTAGGCACCCAAACACTTGAGCCGTCATCTGCTGTCTTCCCAAGTTTATTAACAGGAAGCTAGATCAGAAGCCCAGCAGCCTGGAATTAAACCCTCACTGCAATATAGGAAGCTGTTGCCACAAGCAGTGGCTTAACCAGCTGCACCACCACACCAACCTCAGCCTTTTCATTTTTCTGTGATTCTTTTTTAATTTACTTATTTTCATTTTATTTGAAAGATGCACACACATGGATACAGTCACATTGAGACAGAATGAAAGAGAAAATTTTCCATCTGCTGGTTAACTCCCCCAAATGTCTACAACAGTTAGTGCTGGTTTAGGATTGAACCTGGAGCCCAGAACTCAAACCAGGCCTCCCACATGGGTGCCAAGGATCCAATTACTTGATTCATCATCTGCTACCTCCCAGGGTGTGGCTTAGCAGTAAATGCAAGCAGAGGAGCTGGAACTGAAGCCAAGTATTTTAATATGGAATGCAGGCATACCAGGTGACATATTAACCACTGTTTCAAGCACCTATTCCTGTGGCATTCTTTGATTCCTTAAAACAACAACAACATCAAAGCCATTTTCTGACTGTGGAGTCCCCAGGAACTCTCTGATGTCTGTGGCACAGACTTGCAAATAGGTGGTGCACTACACACAAAGCAGGCTTGCATGATAGGGGAGGCAGGCTGGCTAATAAAAAAAACAAGTAACATTAGCTGAGTATTGTAAGGACATTTTATTAGGAATAGAGGCAGAAATAGAGAGAAATCCAAAGTCAGGGAATTTTGTGCAGTAGAGCTAATATTTGTGCTGAACTTGAAAGGATCGCAAAGTTTGTCAGAAGGACCCTTTGGAGAAGGTATTCCAGTTAGAGAAGTGTTATGTGAAGGAATGAATTCCTGAGTGAGCAGAAATTACAAATATTACAGTTTTTCCGGAGGATCATTTGTGATTTGGTAAGCATATTAGGCCCATAGTAGCTTGAAAATTTGGTGATAGCAACCAAATCATGTCTTTGCACCTAAAAGCAGTAATTCAGTCCCTACACCATCGTAGCCACCAGCAGAACAGCATCCTGTGAGGCTTTGCCTGGGCATCAGCTGGTGCCTACAGATAAATCCAGTTTGAATTTCTTCCCAAATGCTGCAAGAGCCGACACTTTCAAATTACAGATAGCGAAATAGGAGTCCTCTTCTAAAAGAAGAATGAAAAATACTCTCCTTTCAAAATTGCTAAAAATATATTGATTGAGACAACCATGACTACTTTTTATATCTTTTGTGATTTTTAGGTAGGAAAGTTAGTAACGTAAGTTACTATGTTTTTTTTTTTTTTTTCAGATTGTTTAGCCTTTCACATTCTCACTCCCTTTCCTTCTTCCTCTTCCTCTGCCTCCTCCCCCTCCTCTATCTCTCTCCCCCACTTCTCACACACATCCACACACACAATTTCTAGGTTATATGACCTCCCAAGGCATACCAACTGTTTGTTCATGTCTTAGGAAAAAAAATGGAAATGACTATGGGCAATGCGGAGCTGTGGTGTTGAAAAATGGAGCACAAAGAAGAAATTTTAGTCTTGCTTTAAAGGCATTTGACTGAGATTCACACAAATATAGTTTCATTTTATACTCCAGTGATTCTCAGAGAGGGCTAAGTAGTAGACTACATGAATCACAAATACCAGCCTGTCCTTTTTCTTGTTCCTTTTTTTTTGCATGACACCATGAAATCTTTGCATAATAAACACATAATAAATTTAAAACTAATTTTGCTTGTAGGAAACAAACATCACTAAAATATCTGGATGCAATTAAATCATTAAATGCGTAGAAAGCAAAGGGCTATCAAATTTATGTGGACAGCTCTTTCTAAGTACTGCTATTTAATTCCCTTTTCTACACGTTCATTCATTTTCTCAGCTGCTCTTGCTTTCTTGCAAGTGGCAAAAGTGTTTTTTTAAAGCTAAGGTTAATCTTAATTTTGAGAAAACTTTACTTATAATTTTAAAAATAACTATAACTCTTGCTATAATTTCATTTGACTTGGTCAACACAGTAGAACAGTAGAATTTTAGTTTGCCAATTTTATAAGTTTATTTGAAAGGCAGAGTGATACACACACACACACGCGCATCTCTAGAGAGAGAGAGCACTCTTCCATCTACCCGAACACCCTCCACAGCAGGGCTTACCAGGCAGGTGTCAGAAGACCAGAACTCTCACAGGGTGACAAGAATCCAAGCACTTTAGTACTTTAGCCATCATCTGCTGCCTCCCAAGGTGACTGTTAGTAGGAAACAATATTGGACGCAGAGTCAAGGCTGGAACCCGCATGCTCAGATGTGGGATGCAGGCATCCAAAGCATCAGTGAAACCTGTTTATGTCACAATGTCCAACCTAGTGTTCCAATTTTAGAACTTCATTATTGTATTAGAAACTGGTGACTTTCAGGCCAGAAACGAAAATATTTAATTAATCATGTCCTCTTCATCATTATTGACACAAATGTTCATGACTGCATTTGACCTGGTCATGGAAATATATGTACCTTTGCACATGTACATATTAAATAATATATATTTTGTGATTTATGATACTAATTTTGTGATATTCTTCTGAAAAGAATAAATTTGAAACACAGTATTAATTCCAAATAAATAGATATAAAATATGTTCTGAATTCACTGATTTATTATTCCACAAAATTTATCAACAACATTCAGCAATAATAAATTTTCTTTAAAAAAGATTGTATTTATTTATTTAAAATTCAGGGTTACAGAGAGTGAGGTAGATAAAGAGACAGAGAGAGGCATTCCATCTACTGTTTCACTCCCCAGATGGCCACAATGGTAAGAGGTGGATCAGACTGAAACCAGGAGCCAGGAGCTTCTTCCAGGTTTTCCACGTGGATGGCAGGGGCCCAAGCACTTGGACCATCATCTGTTACTTTTCCCTGACTACCACCCAGAACAGAAACTGGTGCCTACATGGAATGCTGGCATTGTAAGTGGCGGCTTTATCTGCTGTGCCACAATACCAGCTCCAATGATAAATTCTTGATTATCTGAGGTCTTTTTCTCCTCCCAGTTTGTGAGTTCTCTGAAAACAACACCCAGTCTCACTTGCACAATTAATGAACCTAAAAATTGAGAGGGAAAATGAGTTAAGAATTATTGTTTCATTATGAAAACAAATATATAAAGGGATTTCAACAAAGTAATTTTTTTACAAATCAATTCTTCACTTTCTACAAATGTTTAATTTTTTATCTATATAAATGCAACAGATTTCATGTATTTTATAAACACAGTTTTCAGAGCATAATGATACTTCCCACCTCACTTGGCATCCCTGCCTCACACCTATCCTCATCTTCTCTTATTTTTCTTTTATTTTTTTAAAATGACATACCTCAATTTAATTTACAATTACAAATTCAAGCATCCTGCTCTATGAAAAAATTAGTTTTCCAGTTATTTGAAATTTTTTCACAAAAATTTTATTTTAAATGGATTTTACCCAGAGTCACCCAACAGTGATCAATGAATGCTTAAAGTTTGTGAAGAACAATTTGTAATATTTTTTATCAAGTTTGGTCATTGTGCTAAGCACATGAATACATTATTATTTTTCTTCACTATATTTTCCCTTTACTATCTCTTATCCCTCCTAAATTGATCAAGACATACAGGGAGTAAGAGTCAGAACTGGAAAGTCATGTGTATCATAGGAATCAAATCCATGTCTTTGTTTCATTGACATAATACATTGTGCTACATAATTATATAAAACATATCAGAAAATGTGCATACTTATTTTATTTCAACAACAGAAAAACCAGTGCTACAGGAATAATGAAGCTGATGATAACATAGAAAAAAAAAATAGATCCTATAAGAGAGTCTTAATAGATGCTACTAAAAAGCTTGGCCACATTGGAGGATTAGGTTGGGGAAATGAGATGTCACTGATGGAAACAGTGAGAAAGGAGACAAAAGAAAAATATGTTATTCAAAGTTTTCACAATAATAAAGCATCTCAGTGGAGCAGACCAAGGGTTAAAGGAAGGGGTACTTTGAAGGGTGGGGAGAGGAAGGAACATTAAAAAATTTATGTAAATATAAGAGTGGGAATAAGAGAGGGAAGAGATGTACAATTTGGGACATGCTCAAGCTGACTTGCCCCAAACGGTAGAGTTGGAAAGATACCAGGGGATTCCAATTCAATCCCATCAAGGTGGCATGTACCAATGCCATCTCACTAGTCCCAGTGATCAATTTCTGTTCACAATTGATCATAATGATAGGAATAAGAGCCAAAGGGATCACATAAATAAGAATAGTGTCTGCTAATACTAGCTGATAGAATAAAAAAGGGAGAGAACAATCCAACATGGGAAGCTAGATACACAGCAGACTCATAGAATGGCGGATGTCCTAAACAGCACTCTGGCCTCAGAATCAGCCCTTAAGGCATGCGGATCTGGCTGAAAAGCCCATGAGAGTATTTCAGGCATGGAAAGCCAAGACACTCTGGAAAAAAATATAAAAAAAAAAAAAACACCTAAATGAAAGATCTCTGTGAGTGACATCCCAGTGGAAAGAACGGGTCATCAAAGAAGGAGGTACCTTTCTCTGAAGGGAGGAGAGGACGTCTACTTTGACTACGACCTTGTCTAAATATGATCAGAGTCGGTGAACTCAAAAGGCTTCCATAGCCTTGGCAGCTCATGACAAGAGCCTAGGTTGATTACTGATGCCACAAACAAGAGTGTCAATTTGTTAAGTCAACAACAGGAGTCACTGTGCACTTACTCCTCATGTAGGATCTCTGTCCTTAGTGTGCTGTACATTGAGATTTAATGCTATAACTAGTACTCCAACAGTATTTTTCACTTTATGTTTCTGTGTGGGATCAAACTATTGAAACCTTTACTTAATATATGCTAAACTGATCTTCTGTATATAAAGAGAATTGAAAATGAATCTTGATGTGAATGGAAGGGGAAAGGGAGCAGGAAAGGGGAGGGGTGTGGTGGAGGAGTTATGCGGGGAAGCCATTGTAATCCATAAGCTGTACTTTGGAAATTTATATTCATTAAATAAAAGTTTAAAAAATTTTATGTGTTTAGTTAGGATAGGATTTGACGCAGTGACTCACAATAATTTTGAGTGAAAGAAACTAGAATAGTGACTACCAAGAGCAATGTGATGAAATTTTATAAGATTTTAAAAAGCTTCTAGGAATGAGTGTGGATGTATAAACATGATTTAGGAATGAAGCTCATGAGGAAAAGAAATAGGGTGCAAACAAGAATTCAGAAAGCCCGGTGCTGTGGAGAAGACTGTGCTCGTCTTTCTAGTTCCTCACTTCAGAGAGCAGCTGTAATACACAGTTCTTGAACTACAAGTTGAATCAGTGCCCCATTGCTATCCTCCTGTATTTCATTAAAAGCAGTTTGACTCTTTCAAAGGATCTGTCTAAAAAGGTGTATTGCCTAATCCTTGACATATTATGAATACCAGAAAAACATGACAGTATAGCCCTGTGAGGTACTGGATTATCCATAATATGAGAATATTTTCCTTTTTCCATTATTTGAAGTGAAAGACAAATCAAAACGTTTAAGGTTGCCTAGAAGTGAAAATGGGAAGATGGGGACATGGGGAATGATTGCTATTTGATAAGAAATTCCTTGTTTATGATGAATGAAAATCCAAGATTGTGATGATGACTGCACAACTCAGTTGATAAGCTAAAAATCATTGATTATAAACTTCAATTGGATGAACTTCATGTTATGCAAATTATGCCTCAATAAAGTTATCCAAACAAGAAAAGTGAAAGAAGCAGCTTCAAATGTTTTAGGTCAAGCAGTAATGAATTGAAAACTTAAAACCTCACCTGCTGGTGAATGAATTTGCCTTTCCTAAAAAACTGCCTGAGCTCATGACTCTAGAGACAATAAGATTAACACTAATGGTAAAACCTTCCAGAAAATACCATTGTAATTTCTCAAAAAGCTCTTCAGTATTTCCATGCTATCAAATGGTCTTGAAATAGTCATCTCATAGTATAGCTATAATCTATTCTCATGTAATTTTCTCTTAGCACAACAGAAAGACTCACAGGGAAATTTTCCAATATAATTACAGTTGATCTAGTATTATGGATTTGGGTTTTCTGATTGACTTTTAACCTCCAATTAATTGTTTTCATTAATTTTCCATAAAGACCTTTGACAATCTTTTTCCCGCTTTCAAGGCATATTAAGCTGTCAGCCTTGTATATAAACTAAACTTATTCTGTTTAACCATGTAGCTAAATATTTAAACAACTAGATTATTTAGCCTAGCATTTACTACCTACATCTGATCTTTAAAATATGTAACTTTGTCTTCCAGTTTCACCTATTTACTCTATATATTTTTTGACACAGACACATACCTGTTTAGGGATGCGGCAGCCATTGTTTTGTTGTGGTGCTACATATTACTCATACGTTTGTGGCCATTCTGATATAAATAAACCTACTACACCACCACTTATAATGCATGGGAAGGGTGTTTGGTACAGCAAATAAAATGCACCTTAGTACACCCACAGTTTACAGTTAGTGCCCGGGTTCTAGCCTTGGCTCTGTTTCCAATTTTAGCTTTCAGCTAATATGCACCACAGGAGGCAGCAGATGACATTCCAAGTATATGAGTATCTCTGGCATCATGGGACACCTGAATTGAGTTCTGGGCTCCTGGCTGCAAAATGGCCCAGAACTGGCTGTTGTGGTAATTTAGGAAGTGAATGAGCAGATAGATTTCTCTTTCTCTCTCTCTCCCCCGCCTCTCCCTTTCAAATAAAGTATTTTTTAAAGCAGCATGTTATTTTGCACTAGGGGCAACTCCTTTATCCTGTGTTGACTGTTTCTTATCTATAGAGGCCATGATGCAAGATGATGGACCTATAACATCTATGTTTGTGTACACATATTCTACAATGTTCACAGTCACAAAGTCATCAAATGCCACTTTTTTTTAAAGATTTATTTTTATTTATTTGAAAGAGTTACAGAGAGAGGTAGAGACACAGAGAGAGGTCTTCCATCTGCTGGTTCACTCCCCAGATAGCTGCAATGGCTGGAGCTGAGCCTATCCGAAGGAAGGAGCCAGGAGCTTCTTCAGGGTCTCCCACATGTCTGCAGAGGCCCAAGGACTTGGGCCATCTTCTACTGCTATCCCAGGCCATAGCAGAGAGCTGGATGAAAAGAGGAGCATCTAGGACTTAAACACCTTATGGGATGCCAGAGCTTCAGACCAGTGCTTTAACCCACTGCGCCACAGCACCGGCCCCCCAAATGTCACATTTCTTAAAAC